CAGTAATCGAGCCTGGATGTTATGAATGCATGTAATACTGCGAACTGTTTTCAGTTCATTTTTGAGAAAAACACAATATCATATGTTTATATCATAAACACAGTGTTACACCTCAAACCTGGACGATGTGTCTGTCATGGCATTTTCTGTCCCTTTATTGTGACGAAAGCCCAACTGGAAATCTTGGACATACGAGATAGGATCAAGAGGTGATTATGCAATTAAAATCAAAAAGGGCTGGTGCCAGAGATGTCCACTCTCGCCCATATTATTCACACTAGCAATCGAGCCGTTGACGACAGCTATTCGCCTGCATCTACGAATCCCAGGGATCACAGTGGGACCCACCGAACACAAAATCTCTCTGTTCGCGGATGATGTCATTTTATTTTTGACAGATCTAAAGAAGTCGATTCCAGCAGGAATGGAAGTGGTCCATGAATTTAGGAGAGTCTCAGGTTACAAAGTAAATAGTACTAAATCTTCTATTCTGTTATATAAATGAAAGGACTAATCCCAGCAGGGAAGTTATGCAATTTAAAGTAGTGGGAAATTTTGACTGGTGTTCAGATTTTCCCAGAACTGCAACAGGTTGTCAAATCTAACTATGAGCACTTCATGAAAACAACAACCGCTTCAATCAACAGGTGGACAACCCTGCCTATATCCATATTGGTAAGAGTTAATGTCCTGAAAATGAGTATATTACCAAAGTTACTGTACCTCTTTCAAAGTATTCCCCTTCCACTTCTTTCAGAATGATTTATTTGGCTTGAAAAACATTTTAGGCTTTATGTGAAACAATGGAAGTCTTAGGCTACGACTCATTTACCATTCGATAGAGGGGGGTTAAAGGGCCCCAACTTTAAATTATACTAATGAGCCACACAATTAAGGATTATCATGTTCTATTTTGCAGACTAAGATAATCCACACTGTGTAGAAATGGAGTCACACAATTTAAAATTAGCTCTTCCTTTATTTATACACAGCAAAAAAATAATAATAATTACAGAAACAAACCAAAAATTTTATTCTGAAAAATATGATTAGAGTCTGGCATGATGTTAGAAAATATCTCAAGGAGCCAAACTCTTTGTCACTCCAGGAAGGGCAGATGGGATGTTCAAGCCATGGGCAACGTTAGGATTAAAAAGGATGGTGACCTTTACCCATGAAATTCTGATATATGTTTGTCTTTTGGAGCGCATCCAAGTTTTAGACTCAATTAAAAAGCATTATTTTAAATTTCTTCAACTGAGAAGTTTTATCAAAGCAAATCACAGTAATCTTAACAAGCCTTTACACCACTGGAAAAAAATAATGGGTAGGAACAAATCAAGAAAGGGCATTATTTCAGACTTCTATAATCTACTGATCTCTAACGCACACTCAAGTCAAACACTTATGAACTGGAATGTGGACCCATCATCAAGAGAACAGGATTGAGAAAAGGTCTGCGCAAAACCCCACACAATGTAAATAAATAGCCATCTTAAATGGCTAATGCGCATGTATGTTACGCCTGTGCATTTAAATAAATACAATAATAATATCCCAGATTTTTACGTAAAGTGTAAATCTAAATGGACTTTAATATATGTGGGAATGCAGATAAATTAATGTATTTTGGAAGGAGGTGAAAAACTTATCTCAAACAAATTACACTGGATCCTAAATTGTTTGTATTAGCTTTACATCCTGAGAAGCTTAATTTTAGTAAAGCAGAATGTACTTTTATAGATATATGTTATCTGTAATAAAGTGTAAAGCTTTGGTTTGGAAGAACGTCAACAGACCTGGCGCCGCCCAGTGGTTAAAGCAGATGTTTTCTAATTTGCCACTGGAAAGAATAGTATTTATTAGGAAATACAAACAATATATTTTTGAGAAGATTTGGCGTTCTTTCATTAACTGTATGAAGGACTTGGACTTACCAGAGTGCTTGTTGGACTCTTGATTTGCTGGAACTTGCGGTGCGACAAGTTCAAGTAGATTTTATTGTCATTTTGTCACATGTGGTACATGAGGTGGAATGAAATTGTGTACACAGGGAATGAAAGGATGCTGAGTAGACATGTACAATTGTATCCAACTTGTTTGATAACGCTCAGTTATCCCTGTTGTTTTGAGAAGCTTTGCTTTTTGTTTTTATTTTGGGTTATTAAACTTTTTATTGTGGTTTTCATTTCTCCAACTAGGATTAGTTGAAGCCCCAAAGTGGGCTTATAGTTTCATGTTACTGTCATGTAGTAATTATAAAAGAAGCTTGGTCAGACTGGTACATGATTGTATATTCAAAGTGGAAAATCTCAATAAAAATATTTTGGTGAAATAAAAAGGGGGGATTATGGTCGGTGTACACAACAGTGGGTTAAAGGGCTGGAGCCACGGTACACCTCAAAGTGTTTGAGAGAGAGCAAAGAGGCATAAGTCTCTTTTTCAATTGTAAAATAGTTAATTTGATTTCTATTGAACTTACGAGAGAAAGAACAAACCAGATGATCAATGCAATTACTGTTATCCTGCAGCAGAACTGCACCAGCATCAACTTGAGTTTAAAAGGCTTGGATATCCTAACTGGGCCTTCCTGAAAGCAGAGAAGAAACCCAAACAGGTCTCCAGTCAGCCATCAGGTGAAAAGGAGGAACCCAGACCCAGACCAGTGGTCATTCCGTATGTTGAGGGAGTATCAGAGAAACTGAGACGTTTATTTTCTAAACGTAACGTCCCAGTGGCTTTTAAACCTCAACACACATTATGGCAAAGACTGGTTCATCCCAAAGATCCAGTCCCCCGGCACAAACAGTAATGTTGTGTATGTTGTTCAGTGTCAGGAGGGTGATCAGTCTTACATCGGGGAAACTAAACAGCTACTGGCCAAAAGGATGGCCCAGCACAGAAGATCAACATCATCAGGCCAGGATTCTGCGGTCTACACTCATCTCCAGGCCAGCGGTCACTCTTTCAGGGATGAAGATGTTCACATCCTGGACAGAGAGGAACGATGGTTTGAGAGAGGAGTAAAGGAGGCCATCTTTGTGAAAAGAAATCGTCCATCGTTAAACAGGGGTGGAGGCCTCCGGGTTCAACTGTCCCCCTCTTACACTGCTGTGATTGCTAGTATCACTCAACCCCCTGTGAATAGTAAACATCAGGACACTAACAAGCCCTTGTTAGACTGATGATCATGTCAACAACTAGTTCTGAATGTCAACAACAAAATGGTTGATCCACTATGAGAAGGTGCTATTTATAAGACTGAGTTTGTTGCAGCTCCACAGACTGAAGAAGTCTTTTGGACAAAAGATGAAACGGTTCAACAAGTTTTAAATTTACTATTTTTATTTATTCATTTTTATTTTAAATCTGTCTAGAGGACCTGACTTAACTTTGATAGATTTTGGTTAACACTTTTTTCTTGTAGCGTGAAAGAACTAAACTAAAGTGACCCAAGTGACTCGGTTCACTTTAGTGAGTGATTCAGTTTCAACCGGATCCATAAAATAAAACACATACAGGTTTACCAGCTCCAATCCATTGCCAGGCGGCTCCTTCGAGCTGTGGTTGCAAGGGGGCTCTTGTGGCAGCCACAGATGTTATCACATGACATCACTGGATATTGCCCCAAAGTTTATACAATTCAATTCAATTCAAAAATATTTTACTAATCCCAAAGGGAAATTAAGTGTTGTCATAGCTCATCATCCTGGTTTCATTCAAGAGTTGTTATAGATGCTGATAGCTGTGGGCTGGAAGGATCTTCTGCAGCGAATCTGAAGAATCTGGCCACAGATACTGATTTGTCTTCCCGGATCCAGCTTGCTGTCAGAACCAGCGGGCCTCTCAGTCCTCCAAGTGGCAGGACTGCCTGAACGCCGGACAGAATTCCTCCCTGAGCGATGGTCACTCCTCCCAGCAGTCTGCTGAGGTCCTCGTCACCACAGATAAGACAGCTGAAGGTGTCAGGGGATGATCCCGATCCTCCTGTTGTCACGAGCCAAGTTTCCCACCAGCTCCAGGATCTCAGGGGTCAGGTACTCGAGCACCACCAACAGGTTGATGGGAATTCGTCCATGGTGCCTTCTTTTCAACTCCTTTGGGATTGGGGGAGGTAGCTGAGTTTTTGTGCTGTTAATCAGCTGCTCCTTGTTGATAGAAACGCCTTGTTGCCATGGTTACGCATCATAACAAATGCCCCAAAAGTAAAAAGCTTTCAGTAAAAATCCTCCCAGCTGCACAGCATCTGATACCAGAGGAAATAATCATCTGAAAAAAGTGATTTACATCCAGAAAAAAAGAGGAATTCAAGTTTTTAAAAGCAATAACTCAGAATGAAAGTACCAGAGCTGCTCCAACATGCAGCCACACAGAGCGGCGCAATTCTGAAACAACGAAATGTCAATGTCAGTTTTATTTTGAAAACACATTCAAAACCCGCAACATTTACCAAAGTGCGTTGCAAGTTGGTGAAAACCACAAAAAAAAAAAAAAAAAAAAAAAAAAACACCATTAAAATTAATAAATAGAGCCCCTTCCACACAAAAATGACACTAACTGTTTATCTCTTTCTTAACACGCTCACTAATCTTTCTGGTTCTCTCGTCACAGGTTCACAAACACTCAACCAGTATTTCGTGATTTCTGTGAAAACGCAGGTAAGGAAAAAAAAATATGTCTCTGTTCATCTTTGTGTCTTTCTGTGAAGACAGAAAAATAAAAAAGTAACATTTTAAGCACAGAACAATAATGAAGATTATGAATTTTAGAAAAAAAAAATTGGATAAAACAAAGCAGGTAGATTAATTTCATTGAATAATTTCCGTGTTACCACAGTGAGCTCTGCTTCTGTTTATTTTCATTCATTCAACCTTTATTTCTACAGGCCGGTCTCACGGAGTCACGAGGACACATTTTCAAGAGAGGCCTGTTTATGATCAGCTGTAGGGACAGGACGTGTGTTCTTTTATGGCACGGTTACATAACCCGTCACCCTTTGTCCACATTCTGCAAACCTGCTTGAGGAAATAAAAATACAGGTAGGTTTCTGTTTACGGGGTTTGTGATAACATGTCCGGACACGTCTTTGAGAGCGAAATGCATTAGAAGCAAAATATGCCTAAATAAAACAATTGAACACATCGAATTAGTTTTATTTGTTTAAATAAGTTGTCTATATTCATAAATGACAGTTTGTTGTTTTCAAGCTGTTTGAATATGAATATTTACTCTACACATCAGCTATATAAAAATTAGCTCAAGCTACAGTACTAATTACAGATAATAAACCTAATTTAGCTGAGCCGTAAATGTTGCACTATCGCTCTTTAACAAATGTTCACCCGACACTCCTGCCTGCTGGGAGTTCAACTCTTACACACTTCCTCTTCTCACGTAATAGGTGTGTTCAGCTGAGATAAAAGCCTCCAGTATCGCAGAGCTCCAGAGAGACTGGCACCACCACTGAAGAGAGAAAACCAGCAGAGATGGGCAACTTCTTCTACTTCTCTGCTGAAACTTGGACCCTGCTGGTCGCTTTTATCACATTGCTCGTTGTGTAAGTGTTAAAACGTGTATTTATGTTTAAATCGTTACATTTAGTCTGTTAAATCTTTTTTTATTCATACACATTTTTTTTTTCTTTTCTAACAGGTATGCCTACACTGTAAGAAATGTCAGTAGAATTTACGTAGAAACTATGTAAA